AATTAATCATTTGAAAAATTAATCATTGAAATCATTTAAAAAAATTACATTTTTAATATTGTATATTAAAACCTCTATGTTAATTAAATTGATTTATGCTCATAAAAATAAATAATTAAATTTTCATATACTAAAAGTACTTTTTATAATATGAACATGAACAGTACAAAATTCCCTTTATTGATGAAAGTCCGTTAGTAACTGAGTACTTAACATATTAGTTTTCCCAGGAAAAATTAAACAAAGCTCGGCGGTTTTAATTTTGTAGATTACTTACATTTCCTGATATATGAAAATTAAACATATACGTTTATTTACATATAAGGTTCTATCATTTTATCATATTACCACGGTATGACAGTTGAAACAACTGAATTAATTAATTATACATTGTAGATTCTATGAAAATGAAACCATTTATTTAACGAATCATGTCTCATGTAATTATATCTTCACATGCAAATGGAATCTAAAGTTATAAATTTCTTTTTAATACATATAAAATAATTCGAATTATGATAATATAACATTACTCGATTCTCAAAAAGTTCACTTATAATAAAATTTAAAAAAAAACTAACTAGACGTAAGAAGCATTTTGCCTTAACCAACAATAATAGCTATAATCAATAAGAATGGAGTTTTAGTAAATTTTAAAACAGTGACATAAAATTTCACTAATTCAAATTTTAGAGTTAAACCATTCGGAATGACTCACCTCATCGAGAAAATATAAAATTGGCACAATGAACTTTGTGGAGACAACATTAACTTCTCCTCATTTGGAAAGTTGAAATCAAATTTAAAAGATTATTTCCATTAGGATTTTGTTCAAAAGTATTAATTCCATTATATTATAGAAAAAATACAGAGAGATAGAATTATATTAACCCGATAGTATTCGATTTGGGTCATGGTTCTTATCAAACTTAGCAATCGAAGTATTAATCATTGGAGAATATGCAAAAAAGGATTTCAAAGTCATAAATTATCAAATCCTCGCGGCATCCGCGTTCGAATTTATAAATATTCAAAGAATTCTTTTTTTCGAGATCAAAAGAAAAATAAAGAAGGCGAAGATGATGGAAATTTCTTTTGGCGGGGTTTGAAAGATGCGCCTTATTGTCTCTTAAAGTAGTTCTGTTCTTGGCTGATACAAAATTGTTCATCTATTATTCCTTTGAAGTGTACACCGCGCCGAGCGCCGTTTCTGGCGCCTTATCTATTTATAGTTATACTCAAAAAGTTTAGTTTTTATTCAGAACGATCTACATTTACCTGGAGGAAAAGATTTTGTGAAACGGAATGTGATAAATAAACGATGAATTGAAATTTATAATATATTATGGATGCTCTTCTACGTGATTTGGCAAGTGGGTGCAGAAAATTGTTTCTATTTATTTTAGGATAGCATATGACCCTTCTAATTTAAGATTTATATTACCACTTTTTTTAATACTATAATTATAATCAATGAAAAACTCACATTGTAGAATAATCGACTATATTGACTAGCTTCATATTTATAATTTTTCCCGTAGGGTAAGTTACAGTAATTATAAAAAAACTCGGAAATGCATTTTTTGCATATCTTTACGTTTCAAAGTTTTCTACACATTTTGGCATACCTCAGAAAAAGTAGGTATGTGTGTGTATGCGTATGTGCGGATAAAATTTTTTGTCGACGATTTCATGAGCACGGATCAACCGATTTGAATGATTCAAAGAACATTCGATTTCTATTGATGGGCAGACAGAGCCAGTCGTAGCCAAAAATGGCAATTGACTTCTTGAGACAACGGAGCGCCCGATTTGAATGTTTTAAAAATCATTTCAATTGTATTGACGGAATGGAGAATAATGATAAAATTTTTGTAAACATATTTCAAAAATTATAAACTACTATACGAAAATTTTCAGCATTTTGCTTTAAGACACGATACCATGCACCACTATATCTATCTAATCTAAATTCAATAAAATAATGAATATATTTGAAATATTCAATTAATTAATTATTGCACATATAAAACTTTATTTATATTTCATAGAATAACATGCTTGGAGTGTAAAAATTTATATTTCAAAGCTTTTATTATAATTTTGACTCTCTAACTTCAAAGTTCAACATTTAAAATGAAGAATTGGGTTCAAAAGAATCTGTCATCAACTTCGTGTATGAGACGATCAAAACAATGGCAAAGCTATTTTATTATCAACAACTTCTAAAGAAATAAGTTTTGTTTTAAAGAGTTAAAGTAGTTACCATCAATTACGCCCATGAAGAAAAGTACTTCGCTGAAGAAATATGAAAGATGGATAATATTACTTGAATACGTTTTTATATTGTAGAAAATGAAAAACTGAAGATCTCTTAAGATCAGTTTTTATATATTCCAATTATTTGTTATCACCAAATAATAAATTGTTAAAACCAATTACTACCAAATTGGTCAAAGAATTATATATTCTATGATCTTCATATTAGTTACTGAAAGACAGTAGTTAACAGAGATATATCGAATGGAAAACATATTTATTTTTGTATTTTGCGCAAAAATTAATGTATTCATATTAGCACATGGATCTGCGGTTATTTCGTATATTTTTATTTTTGTGAGCTGGTTTATGTGTATATATAATTTATAATCCAACATAACTCGGAACGCGATATTAACAGGAGAATACGTTTCCGTTTGACACGAGCAAGGAATGAAAAAAGTTTTCTCGCGCGAATTTCCTGTGAGGGACATCTATGCGTGTTTTTCCACAAGTTTTGTCAAACAGCAAAAGTGGAAAATACATTCATTCGTTCATTCATTGAGCTGGGAAGTTTGTTTTCGGTGATTTATCAAAGCCAAAAGCCCTGCCGTGTCCAAATGATGCATGATCATTTGATGTGCGTGAGGAACGCACTTAAAAAAGTCGAGAGCTTCACACTCGCCCTGGTTTTTACGACTTCGGAGTTTTGTCGTCATCACTATAAATGGAAAATATTTTTTTTCGTTTTGCCCCAGTTAAGTGCATTGTGTTAGGGTGAGAATAATACGTTAGAAGAATCGACAATTTACTTTTATTTTTTCATACGTGGACCAAACCTAACAAAACTTAAAAATTATATATTTATTCAATTTAGGAAATATTATTGATACTTTGTAAAAGATCAGCGTTACGAGATTTAATTCTATTCCAAAGTTCAATAATTACTATATATACTTCTTGCAATGATTTTCCTACATTTGTGACGAATTAATATTGCCCATTTTAGAAATCTTCACAATCGTATTTAGTATGATTGAGAATCGATCAACATCTATTTTTCATACCCCTAAGTGCTAAAAGTTGGTTACCTTTAAGGTTTTTAATACAGTTTTTAGACATTTATTTTTATTTTATCTTTTTATATTTTGTAATTAGAAAATATATAGCCCTAAATTTTTACCTTCCTAACACCTCTATTTTGTCATTTTTAGTCATTTATAGTAATCGAACCGTAGTTATTTTAGTAATCGAAGCCAATGGATGTTTATCACCGAATTTTAATTTAGTTTTTCTTGCTTATAGCCTCAATTTAACTACAAAAAATAACTTATTTTTATCAAGAGTCGTTACACTTAATTAAAGTAATAAAACTATTATACCAACTTTATTACTTGTTTCATCAGTTATATTACCTATAAGATGTGTTACTATAGAATTTCATCTCCAGAATTTATAACCATATATATTAAACTATTTCGATCATAAACTACAGAAAGGACGACTTGAGTATTTGCTTTAGACAAATAGTGGAATAGTACGGCTTATTGATATGAAGGACAAATATGACAAGATGAATAAATTTTTCCATTGATAATAATTACATAATGTCTAAAATAAGACGGAAAATTTTAGTGACCCATCAAGAAAAATCAAATGTTTTTTGAATCATTCAAATCAGTTGATCCGTTATCAGTAGATTCCTCTCGAAATCGTTGACAAAAATTTCTATCCGCACATATATTTTATTGATATAAAAGACAAATGTGACAAGATGAATAAATTTTGCTATTGATAATAATTATATAATATATGAAAAAAGGTGGAAAATTTTAGTGGTACCTATTGGCAAACAAAGCCAATTTATTATAAATTAAATTTTTAAGGCACCAAAATGAAAATTAAGCGTACCATGTTTGAATGTTATTTTAACTTATTGAAATCTATTGCAAAATTAAAACTTAAGTTTTGAAAAAGCCCAGGTCAAATATTGACCATAGGGTGATTTGCCATTTTCGCACTTTATACCTACAACTGGATCTGTCTACACATCAAGAAAAATCAAATGTTTTTTGAATCATTCATATCAGTTGACTAATTATCAGTTGATTCCTCTCGGAATCATTGACAAACAATATTATCCGCACATATATCTTATTGATATAAAATACAAATATAACAAGATAAATAAATTCTGCCATTGATAATAATTATATATTATATGAAAAAAGATGGAAAATTTTAGTGGTACCTATTCACGCACAAATTTGCTAATTTCTTATAAATTGAATTCTTAAGGCACCAAACTTGAAACTTAAGTTTTGAAAAAGCCCTGGTCAAATATTGACCATAGGGTGTTTTGCCATTTTTAGCACCTTATGCCTACGACTGAACCTGTCTATCTTTTTTGAATCATTCAAATCAGTTGACTAATTATCAGTTGGTTCCTCTCGGAATCGTCGACAAAAAATATTATCCGCATACAGACACATAGGTACATACGTTTTTTTCTGAGGTATGCCAAAATGTCCAGAAATCTTTGAAACGTAAAGATGTACGAATACATTTATTCTCAATTTTTTTACAATTACTGTAACCTTATATAATCATGTTAGGAAACCTTTTAAATTCTTTTCCAATAATCCATAACACTTGCTAATTATTTCCTTGCGATAAAGCTTCTTCATATCATGTTTTGCGATAATGCTTCTTCATATCATGTTTATAAATGAGTTTCCTACCTTGAATCTGGTAGCCACAACTCCCTGGCGTCCAAGGCAGCAGACAATTCGGTGTCCGTAGAAGCTGCAGAGTGTGCATGATGGCCTGGTGAAGGAGAACCGCTGCCCACGCCTCCAGCGCCTCCGGTGCCTCCGCTGCTGCCTTTGAGAAGACGACGCCACGTGTATCTTCTCTCTGAGAAGGAAGAAATATTGGTAATAAATGAAATAGTATATTTCTATAAATACTAGCTGACCCGGCAAACTTTGTTTTGCTAAGTAAGGTATATTCTAATCAATTTCTAGAGAATCAAAAATATTAATACTTTAAGTGTATAAGGATGTGTTGTTTGAATGCTATATACAATGACGATTATAAAAATAATAAACCCCATTAGTTTGTCTATATTTTGTCAATACGTACAATCAAACTGGAAGTTTTATACACTTTCTATAGAAAACATGGTATAATCCAATCCAAGTCTTTTATGGTCCTTCGACTTATTGATTACGTTTCAAGTTTTTCAGATTCTTTTTGGATTCTGGATTTTGTGTATAGTTGTAAATAATACTACTGAGCTTATAAAAAAAAATCAAATTTCTGCGAGGAGAGGTAGATAATGAATTAAGTATTTATTCTTTGACCTGCTTTTTGAAAAGTTTCAAGTAACATTCAATGAATCAAAGTAAATTTAATAAAAAGTATATATGTAGAGCAGGGCAAGGCACAAAGATCCAATTTGACTTTGAAAAGATCAAATTTAAACAATATTGTGAAAACCATAACAATTATATCACAACAAATAACACATATCAAACGAACAATTATCTGACTACGTTCAGTAAACTGCCAGCTACTTCATTATTGTAGAAATGTGCTTTTTTGATGTCTTTCAAAAATTTATTATCTAGACCTTTTTACCCTATAAGCGGGGTAACTTGAAACAGGCAGGTGGCAAAAAGGTTAAAAGCCTTATTATAATTTTAAAGGTATTTTACAAAATAATTATATTTTTAACTAATGCTAAAAAAGATTACCGTTTTCAAATCAAGGTTATAGCTGGTTATACATCTTTTTCCCTCTACTTTCAAATATTGCTGTTAAACAATGCTTAACTTTACTGATTTTTGACACATCGGTGGTGGACCTTTTTAACCCCGGACCTTCATATATTACTATCTATTTTTTGATAAATTCTGGGAAATTATAACTGGAAAAAAGTTATTCGACAAAATGTTCATTTGATCGATACCAAATTTAGGTTTTAAACTTAAATAACATAAATAAAAAATAATATAACCTAGAAAATGTTAAATGTAAATACCAATGAGTATATAATTATACGAATGAGATTATTCAAAGCACCGTGTTTGAGAAAAATATGCCAAAAAGTGCATTTTCATATTAACATTTCAAAAAAGTTGATATTTTGAGGTTCTAGTAGCACTTGCGGCCCGTTTAGTAACGTTTTTGTATATAAATAAAACTATAAACAAAACTACTTACTACAATTTCATCATAATTAAATAATATTTACGTAAAACATCCTAGTAAACGTAATTGAACATCATCTGTCAAAACCGTTTGACATTTCACGTATTAGCCACCGTCCATTGTTTTATTTAAGTTACGCTTCTATAAAAATTCTCAAATTAAAAATGTAAAGTTTCTACGCGATTTTGAAATAATATCTCACCTTTCCGACCAACTCTGGATTGGCACGAATTTTTCAAGACTAAGACTGGCCAAATCGGATTAGCCGTTTTCGAGTTTTATCGAATCATTTGATCGAGAGCTCCATTTTTATATATAAGATGAAATACAAATATAGCTTAAGGTAGAAGTTGTATATTAATAAAATTTCAACTAACCAAATGCCGTCGGTCCTCCCAGCCATCCGCTGGCCCATGACTCCTGCGAGGCCCCCGCCGTGGTGCCGCCTGCGGTTCCTCCACCGCCTAAACTTCGTTGCTGACGAGCCAGTAATCGCACTGTCAAAGCGTAGGTGAGGAGCATTACGCATAAAGGTATGTAGAAACACACTATAGAACCGATTAATTTGTAGAGAGGATCTGGGATTTGACACATGCCATGAATTAACACGGATCCGTGATCCTGAAAAGAATTGAAGTCATTTATTAATTAAATACACATACACACACCGACACATACACACACACTATATAAATATATATATATATATACACACATATATATATATATATATATATATATATATACACACACACTATATAAATATATATATATATATACACACATATATATATATATATATATATATATATATATATATATGTATATATACTAGATGTCCCGACATACGTTGTCTTGTACCCATGTCTACAATTCAAAAGTTCAAAATTTGTTAATGTCCTATTCTATACTTTTTAATATCCTATCTGATATCCTGGCTTTGTGATTAATTTATGGTCTTAGTATGAGAAATTCAGGAAAAAATAATTTTGTATATTCCGTAAAAGAACAATATCAAACTTGATTTTACCACACAACATAATTGCTTCAATGATCTATCTATAATTTTCATAATCTTGTACGATATATTAGTTCAGTGATTTCCAACCTGTGGGGCGCGCCCCCCTGGGGGGGCGCCATACCTTTCCAGGGGGGGCGCGAAGCTGTTTCAAAAACATTATTTTTAAATGCTGAGTAAGTGTCAAAAACAAATCAGCAAAATACTTAAAGTACTTCTAAGAGTGTTTGAGTTCAAAAAAGAAATTGCTATGTTTCTTGCTGATAACAAAAGAGACGGAGCAATCTTGTTTTAGGACACAAACTTCCTCGCAAAATTTGCGTATTCAGTTGATATTTTTCAAAGACTTAGCGATTTAATTAAATCAATGCAAGGATCTCAAATTCGTGCTTTTGTTCAGAAAGACAAGATTACGGGTTTAATGAAAAAATTAGAACTGTGTATAGCTAGTATCAAATAACTTTATAACTTTAACATGTTTCCCACTTTTAAAATTACTTGTGTTACTGATGAAATAGAAGTAAGTAAAGATCTTATTATTATATCAGTCATATGACTAGTCTGCGAAACCAATTTTCGCATTACTTAAAACATCTAATTACGTCCAAATACGAATGGATTAGAAATCCATTTGTCATTGAGAAACATGGTGATTTTGGTCATTCAACAGCAGAGCAGAAAATGATAATTGATTTATCTAGTGATAGCACATTGAAGCAGATTTTTCAGGACGAAAATATATTGTTAAGTTTTGGTTACCAGTAAAGAACGATTTTCCTACTTTGACAAATAATGCTTTAGAAATTTTATTACCATTTGTGAGATCTTACTTATGTGAAACAGAAAATTCTTATAATTTATAGTTATGTTTGTATACATATTTTTTATAATACTGTGTATTATTTGGCATAATTTCAGTTATATTAAGTATATTTATATTAAATTGTTAGAAAAATAAGGGGGGGGGGCGCAATATTTTTTTCTTTCGAAAGGGGGGCGCAAGGAAAAAAAGGTTGGAAACCGCTGTATTAGTTGCTTTTTGGTAATTATAATTTCTTAAGTACATTTTTTCACTAATAATTCAATAAACATTATTGTTTATGCTCAAATCTTAGGTGAATTAATTTGTAGAATCTAGTTCATATGAGCACTCTTCAATCTAAGATCAACTCGCTAAATATTCCATATACAATGCCAAACAAATGAATTTTTGACACATGAAACGGAATCTAAATCATTTTTGTAATAAGTAGAAATATTTTTTGTATTATTAAAAAATTTAGTAAAGTAAACAAATGCGACATGCATAAGTTTTAAAAAAATACTGTATATGCAATTTTGAATTTATTGCATTATTTTTTAAACTGAATTATATAATTTCATCTGCCATATACTGTTGACTGTATTTTATATTATTTCAATTTCTGGCTCATCTCAGCTGCTGTTAGGCAATAATAATGTAGACATTACATTTGCCTTGTATATTATATTCTAATATTATCTAGGCTCAGAATTTCACCTAAATTCAAATTTCAACTGAATTGACATATGTAGCAGATGACGGTTTAAATGTTTTCAATGTCAAACAATGATAAGTAGTCACTCGTAATTTTTGCCATTTATTTCTTCAATATTACTATAGTTTTATTGTTCATTATCTCTTGAAAATAGCCTTTGACAAACTCTAAAAAGAATCACCAAAATCCGAATAATCGTTTTGGAGAAGTATCGAATCATACACGTACAGAAAACTTTTATATATAAGATATATATATATATATTGTAGAGTTTCGAACAAGAATCCAAAAGTAATAAAAAACAAGAAAAGTTTTTTAATAAACAATTTCTTTCTTTATTTATTTATTTACTGTCGACGTTTCGGAACTAGGTACGTTCCATCTTCAGGACATATGTCAAGAAACATGATCTTGATGAGATTTAAGCAAACAATATGTTTATGAAAATGGATTTTTCTCAAATAATAAATTAATTGAAAAAAATATAATAATGTACAGAAATATGATAATATGATCAAAATAAAAATGATAAAAATAAATGAGTGGATTATCTAACAGGATATTAAAAATGATAAAATTTTTTTTTTTTTGAAAGTTATGGAAAATTTGTAAGAAAAGGTTAATGACAAAATTGATATTCTCCAACATCAACATTCAAATCTAAATATTTACTTCACTTTGTTAATAAAATAGCAAAAGCTATAATTATTATCTCATAAGATTTATTTATATAAAAGTCGTTATTGCATTAAAGAATTGTGAAAGCACAATTTGATTACTTGTATATTGTACACAGTGTTTCAAAGGCTATGTAACATCAACTATCTCGTCATATTTCATATTCAACAAGTAATAAAACAGCTCGTATTGTATGAAATATAGTTTGCAGACTATAAAATATAGTTGCGTTTAGATACGAGAATTTACTTTGCAATATCCAGGTACGGAAATGTTAGAGCATAAAATCTGTGCCAGTAAAGTTTCAAGAAGTAGATGAGAAGGTGGCATATGGCGGGATTAGAGCGGATCAGCCGTCTCCCTAAAATCTATTTCTCTGATAGAACATATACGTAGTCATATACATACACATACTGTATATATCGATATATAATATAATATACATGTATACAGTATCTGATGTACCTAAAGCTTTGAGCTCATATTATTGGCGAAGTCTAAATATTTGTGTTCCTTTACCTGCCATTTTCACCAGAGCTTTTAAAATAATAGTCTTAGGCTTCTGCGATTATTATCCCTCATGCAAATTTTATGAATCTTATTAAATAATTATGATTCTCTTGTTCATTTTACTTGATATCGCTTGGCAGAAGCATGAAATATTAATCTTTGATGATGGTTTGCATATTATCCTAAAATCTTACAACGTATAATTCCTGTGTTCCTGGGTATACGAAGTTTATGCAAGCATTTCGCAAATATAAATATAAACAGATACATATGCTCATATAGAGAAAGATACAAAAATAAACAAATTATAAATAATATAAAAATGAGAAACAAATTATGAATTTATTTGTGATTTATTCGCAAAATTCATTTGATTACCATATATGCATATTATAATTTAACAAAAACATTTTATCATAACATATCGAATATGAAATAATGTGAAAATTAATAAGCTGTAATTTATTGCATAATTCATTTCGATATTGTGTTCGAGTTTTTGATATATAATAACTGCTCGTTATTAAAATTATATATACTCGTATATGAAAAATCTAATAAATTTATATTTTTTGCAGAAAATTATATGTTGGAACGAATTAGAAAGATAATTTATTGTGTTGAAAGCCAATGAATTTATTATAAGATAAAAAATATTTTTTTAAATTTATTATTATTAACTTCCCGTAGGGTAAGTTATTGTAATGGGCCGAAAATCGAAATTGAAAATTTTTACATTTCTCGACGTTTTGAAGGTTTCTGAACATTTTGGCATACCTCAGAAAAAATGGATGTGTGTGTGTGTGTGTGTGTGTGTATGTGTGTGTGTGTGTATGTATGTGTGGATACAAATTTCCAGTCACGTTTTAGGGCGCACGGATCAACCGATTTGAATGGTTCAAAAAACATTCGATTCCTATTGATAGGGAAAAGAGCTGATTAGTTTTTGGCAAAGGCAGGTCCGGCCGTTTCGGAGATACGGAGCAAAGAGTGCGGAAAATAGAAATCGAATTTTTGAGAGAACGGAGTATCCGATTTGAATGATCTAAAAAACATTCAATTAGTAATGATTGGGAGAAGTGTTTATTAGTTTTTGGCAAAGGCAGGCCCAGCCATTTCGAAGATACGGAGCTAAATATGTAAAAAATGGCAGTTTTTGAGAGAACTGAGCGTCCGATTTGAATGATTCAAAAAACTTTCTGCTTGTCTTAACAAAATAATTGATTTTGGAAAAAAAAATTTTGTTCCATTTTTTTTTTTTTTTTTTTTAGTTTTTTGTTGAAACAAATAATTTCAACTTTGCAATTCAGTTTATATAATTCTTATAAATATTAGACAATGTTACAATATTTATAATACTCTATTTGAAAACATTCAGTATTCCTCGAACATTTCGTTACGGTACGGGAAGTTCCAGCAATTTGCCTTAAGGCACGATGCCACCCACCCCACTAGTTTTGATTTCAATTCGATATCATAATTAAAATTACAGTAGCAATTTAAAATAAATTTTGAAGTAAAATCAATTGTAATATTATTATAATAATATTGTTACCTCCCAAAAAGTTTTTGACTATTTTTGAATTCATAAACTCTCCATTTATCTGAAATTTACCAAGCAATTAATATTGGTAGTATCAGCATTTGTATTAGACAAGTATGAAGTATGTGATGTGGTTTCTATATATTTGCCTTTGCTATAATGAGGTGTAACATACGAGATATACATAAATTATCTACATAGTTTTGTAGTTACATACACATATATATACATATGTATGTATATATATATAATATAT